CCGGGTGCCCATGTCAAAGCAACAAGACTTGCAGTGAGCTGCAAATCATCTCGTGAAACTTCATCCAGCACCGAAGGGCTCGGCCCTTGTCTGAGGTCAGGGATGCTGCGTGTTACATGACACACGTGGGGGGCTTGGCTGTGATCTGCCTGCTAGGACCATGCAGGAATGTGAAGCACACGGCAATCTCGGGTGTCTTTCTGCCGGCAGATGGGAGAGGTGGGAGGTTGTTTCCAATTTTGGCAGTACCCCCTCCCAGCTGGCCCTGAAGACAGCCTTAAGAAATGCCTCTCCCTGGAAAAAAAACCCAGCACGGTGGGGTAACACCAGCAAGTAGCTCCCCATGGGGAAAGGGATCCCTCAAAATGCACCAGAAATAGGTCCCAAAGGAGAGCTGCAGAAGGGTACACAAGGCCAGACCCTTAGCTGTTGTGCAAATCAGCTGAAGTCTGTAGAGCTACACCAGCTTAGGATCTAGTCCATCAAGTCCTTTGGGTCAGAAATGTAGGTGAGGCAAAATGCTGGTTTCCTTTGCTCTCCTGAGGCAGGATGGAGCTGATTGCTTTGATTAGCACTTAGAAGGGATGATGTGCAGTCCGGCATTAGCAAACCCTGGGAGGAAAGGTTCAGAGCTCATTAAACTGGTTGACTCTGCTCATTTGCCTATTTTGCCCACGTCCATGTCGTCCACCCCTCCGTTAAATCGACCCCACACTGAGCGTGGAGCTTTGTGACCAGATGGATGCGATCACCGTGTGCGTTGTTCCTGCTTGTCTTCCAGGGTATCCCCCAGGCTCCGATCTTCACAGACACCGTCGTTTTCCGGGTCGCTCCGTGGATAATGACTCCAAACACGTTGCCACCGGAGAACGTTTTTGTGTGCAGGTAAAAGCAAATGGAAAAGTCTCCCTATACAGTCTGAGCTGTATAATCGCTATACCGTGATTGCTGGGCATCGTGTAGGCATAGGCATTGGACTGCAGATCTGTATATTAATATATAGCACCGGTACTAGAAATCCCAAAGATGTGAGCTGAGAACTGTCCCATCGATTTGCCAATTGAGTAAGTATTGAGAGTTGTCTTGGCTGGACTCAACCTATTGATTCGAAATGAATGAGCATTCATTACTGAGCTCCAGTACTGCTCAGGATATTGGATAACACTCTTCTTATTGCAAAGATGTGTCTACTAAAGTGTTGGGTCCGAGTCCTTTCTGTGGTAGTTCATCAGGAACAAACTAGGACCCACTGATTTAACTGCATGAAGTCAGAGGAGGCTGGAAATACTGAAGTGTTCAGTCCACAGCACGACTGCAGTCTCCAGAGCCCCATTTTTCTATTAGTTGATTCTTGCTGGAGTTATGTGATCAACGTATGAATCAATGTATGATTCAAAGTACACATTCATCAAAGCATGAATAGTTTGTGCACTTCCAGTGAAAATAACTGGCTTCACTGTGAAATGCTGAAAGGAATTATCATGTCCATGTTCCTTCTCAAGAACAGGTCAACTTGGAAGGGAAAATGCATTTTTCCTCCCCTCTTCCTTCAGTCACATCTCTTTTCCCTTTGTTTCCCCCTCATGAAGGTCTCTCCAAAGTGGCCCTGGCTCCAAGCAAAGAACTGTAAAATTGAAGGACCTTCTTGAAACTGGCCTAGACACTAAATGAAAAGTGACTATTCTGACTTTTCTCTAGTTTTGTGCAGCACATTTGGTTTTTCAGATAGTGACGGTTATTAGTCACAGTTTTAACATAGCAGAGAGTTTTGTGCTGATGGGTATCAGGGCAGGCGATCGGCCTCGGGCAGCAGTTTCCCCCCCAACGGCACCATCCAAGACTTCACCAGCCTGTCCTTATAAGAAGGCACTGATCCCTACACATTGGCTCTGCAGCTTCTACTTGCACCGTTCATAACTGCCAGCTTCCCCTGTTCGGTGGTGTGTCTTTCTAATTTATTTCTGAGGGCAAGGGGGAAGGAGCGTGCATTGTTTTCTTTTCTGCTGCAGTCCCATCAGTGGCTTTTTTCCCCTCCTCTTTCAATCACTTCTCCTTTTTCCCTCTGCTTTCCCAGCGTGAAAGACAATTACCTGTTCCTGAAGGAAGTGAAGAATTTAGTGAGCAAAGCCAGCTGCAACATGAAGGTCTGCTTCGGGTACATGAACCGTGGTGACCGCTGGATGCAGGTGAGGAGGCGACCAGGGGCATGCCGAACCATACCAGGACTTTTTCTTTGAACATTAAAATCCAGCAGCCACAAGCCACTTATAGATGAAGCTGTCATTGTAGGAGCCTGCATGGCATGGCTTGCCCAGCCTAGCTTCATGCTGCGCTGCTGCCTCAGTTTCCCCTTTTCCATAGGTCAGGCCCAGAGGCTCCCAGCTACAGCTTCTCACCCAGCAAATGCCTACTCTGCTCCTTTCTAGTCTCTTTGGGAGCTCCTGTCATCCCTCAAACTTCCCCTGGGCACATCTGCATGAGATGCTTAATGCACGTTGGCCTAATAACACCACGCAGTAACGTGCCTTGGCAAAAACCCTGCTAGTAGCCAACTGCACAGTTAGCATCCCTAAATAACCATGCACTGATGCTACTGCGCAGCAACTCTAGCTACTGTGTATTTAGTTAGTACTTTATTAAGATGTACTAAACTAAATGCATGGTATCTACGGTACATTATTGAACGTGTAGACATGCCCCTGGCACCAATCCCTTTATTAACTGAAAAGGAAAGTTGGCACAACCACCTGGAAAATTGGGCCCAAATCATCGCCAGCTGAGAACCCACACACTGAATGCCTCTGAATTAACAATCAGGACTCATAGTAGAGATGATATCTTTTATTAGATGAACATGATTTTTGCAAAAAAAATGTCTTTAACTATTAGACCAACATGATTTTTGCAAAAACATTTCTTTAATTGCAGATTTCAGGCACAGACACCCTTCATCGGGCATTGGAGAAAAGATTGTAGAAGTTCTCCTGGGTAGAAATGAAAGTTCATATTTCATAGGATTTCACGTTGTGAAGCATCTCCCTTCCCCTCCAGGAAACAGAGTTAATGCTAGTCTGCTTTGTAGGGGCCCTACTGAAAGGCTTTCTGTCAGGCCTTGCTGGGCACTTCCCCACCTTGTCTGCATTTAATAGATTGGTTTTCTTCCTTGACCAGGATGAAATTGAGTTTGGCTACATTCATGCCCCTCACAAAGGCTTTCCGGTGGTCCTGGACTCCCCCCGAGATGGTGGGCTGAAAGAGTTTCCTATCAAGGAGCTCCTGGTAAGAGCTTTGCATCTTCTCGGTAAACGTGCGTGGTATCCCTTGCCTGGTCTCCCAGCAGGAGGAGAAGCTTACGGCAATTCATAAACATCTTCCAGGATGGTTCACAAAAAAAAAAAGTGGGGTTGAAAGGGAGGCAGATGAAACCAGTGGTGGCCTTAGCCCTGGGCAAGAGAGTCATTTGAGGCCCCTTCGAGGTACTCAGGTGAATATTAACCTACCAAAGTTGCATCGTGGATCTTTTTAGTATGCATGGAGTGGAAGTAGATAAATAGTCGAGTGTTAACATGCATATAGAGCCACTTCCTTGCGGTTCTATTTTGACAAAAAATGGCATTTTCCAATAGAAAACCACCCTAGGTTTGACTGTGCTGGTCACCCGCGAGCTATGTTCTCCTGCACACTACAACCATGCAAGCGCGCCAGCCTTTTGCAGGCACCCAAAAGTGTAACCACGAACCCTGGGGTCGAATTGTACACGCAAGAGCAAGAGAGGGAGTGATTCAAAGAGAGCCGCGGGGAGGCTGACAAGGAGACGCTGGAACAAATCGGCCACAAGATGGGCTTTGAATGTCATTTGTTCACTCGGCGAGAGGCAACCGTCCCCCTCGGTCCACTTCCAGGCAGCTGGGCTTTTCGGGCACGGGTCGCAGTTCAGCAAAGAGGTGTCCCTTTCAGACCGGCTCCCTGAAATCCCTCCTGCTCCGAGGATCAGTCGCTCCCCCGCCTCACAGAGGAGCCTTTTTGCAATTTGTACCCACCCGCCTTTAGCCCAGAAAGCAGGAAACCTCCTCCCTCGTCTTGCCCAGACGATAGATCCCAAACACCTCTTTAAAAATGAACTACCACAGTTGCATCTTCTTGCCATCATCTGGGAGCAGGAGTTAGCTGCATCCGTTTGAAATCAGGCAGAAGGCCGGGTCAATTTGCACCTTATAGACTAACTAAATCAGAGATGCCTAATTCTGGGGCCAGATAGATTCCTAGATCCTCAGTATTAGAGCCTTGTATTTCTTCTGCGCTCGTTAACATGTTTCGCCCCCTGCTTAAAGAAAAGGAAACCCTAATAGGAGCTGATTTATCCAGTGAAAGGGAGCGAGATGCAGCCGGCCGCCAAGTGATCATTCTCCAGGCTTATCTGTGCCAAATATAAAGGGGGCAGCTCTCCAGGAGGCAGGCCCGGAAAGGTTATCTTGAAAGCAGTAAGGCTAACTTGGGACGTGGCCGTAGAGAACGGGGATTGAATGCGGGGCGCTTGGGGGAGGAAAGAAAGAAAGCAAGACTGGATGTGCTGGGGTCTGAAACCGTTGCCTCTTACACGGTTCTGGGATGGGATATCCACTGCAACGTGGGCGTCGGCTGCGGGCTGCCGATGCGTCCCCTCGGCATCGCACCGTCCGTCGGCAGCGTAAAAGGTTATGAACACAAACCCTCTGACCCACGCTACCCACATCCATCCTGCAGACAGCTCCTGCTGAGCACCAACGAGATCCTCGTCAGCATCTGCCACTGCTGTGGCCTACGGGGCAGGCAAGGAGTTCCCATTAGTCCTTGCTGGGAAGCAGCACCAAACAGCCCTAAAATTTGTAAGCTGGGGGGGGGGGATCTAGGATTTTGCCGTGACCACGGTAGCACCGGCCCATCTCTGCCGCTTGCTCCTTGGCGCTGCTGGTAACCGGAGAAGAGAGTGGCGAGCCACAGCTATCACACAAGCAGCTCCCTTTTGCTCCGTGTCCATTTGGAGAAGGTTAATCGCTTTCAAATGCGTTGAAATATATCATTTATCATGCCTGCAATGAGTACAAGCAGTCCTGGATTCGTCATGCGGGATGGGAATAGCACATTGATCGCCCTTCTTTACAAAATAAGCCAGGCAGCAACTTCTATCTGCCCTCTTTGTAAATTCTTTGCTTGGTATTTCGAGAAGCAATTTCAGCCTTTGGAGCAGCAAACGTGTTATAGGCTCCAATCCTGAGCTCCGAAGCCTTGCCTAATCCTCCTTCTATCTCTTCAATCTCATTTTCCAGCTGGCACAATTTAGCCAAACACCCTTTTTTTTTTTATTCCCACCCCATAGAGAGGCGCGTGCTTTGCTCTAAGCCTTCAGGGAACCGCTCGAGGGTGGGGGAAAGGAGACGCAAGAGAATTAGCCTCTCAAAATGGAACTGGCTCTGCTGGAGCTGATAGGACGCGAATCCTCCCGATGAAGCAGGGATGAAAAAGCAATCGGTTTGAGAACGAGGGTGCGTCGTTGGGGATTTGAAACCTGGCTGGCAACGGCGTCCCATGCCAATGCTTATTAAAACAGGCTGTCTGAAAGGCTTAGTCCTTTCTCCAGTCCCAGCTTGAATAGCAGGGCAAGAACAGTTCATTTTATAGGGTCAAGGGAGGGTGCATGGCCTTTCTTCTGTTCCCCAAAACCACGTTGCAGGAGTGGAGCTACTTCACCATGTCTGCTCCAGTCTAAGGGCGGAGGATGATCCACCCCGATGCAAATGGGTTTTCTTGTGGCAGAAAGGGATCGACAGCGTCGTGGTGGTGGGTCAGCCCCTGAAACATGTCATGGAAGATGGGGAGTCTAAGAGGAGCTACGGCCCCCGGTCCTGTCCCCTGCAAAGCTGAGCAAAGTCATATAGAACTTAAATGCCGGCGTGTCCATCAATCGCGGGTGCCTCCTCTGAGACCGCTGGGCATGGGCACTGGCTTTCAGAAGCCTGTGTGTCCTCCAATGCCAGTGACTCCAGTTGGAGCTGGGAGTGCTCACGAGCTTTGAAAAATCAGGCAGATGTCCAGATGATCTCCGCTCCCATTTCAATGGTGAAAGGACGTGTGAGATGTTGAGGCGCATACCGCATTGAGCAATAAAGTGTAAAGTATGCCGGGTACTGGGCAGATCTGGAAATCTGGCCTCTTGATTTAGGCACTCGGCTGGAAGCTGAGCTGACCCACCTCAAGTTGAGGACCCACAAGAGTAGTCTCTAGAATATGCTGCTCTCCGTGCCCCCATTTCCTGATGTTTGTAAAAACACGTTGTTTTCTCCATCGTTTTTTTGAGACCCTCAAGTGGAAAAGAGCTCCCGGGGGTCAATCACTACACAAAGCAATAGAAAAGTGAGTGTAGGAGCCATTTGCTAGACCAGAGAGTGCTTTAAAATCTGAATCACTGGAGCAAAAAGAAAACATGAGCTGGCCCAGAAGATATCGGAAGTGGGAGGATTTAGGGCACTTACAGCAGAGAGGCTCCTAACAGCTAATCTGTGTGAATCCAGAAGGTGGAAAAAGAAACCAAGAGTCTCATCTTTCCCATACTAAGCAAGTAGGCTCCGTTCTCACATCTCTAGGGTCAGATGCCTCCAGAATGGCTGGAGGAACAAGCAGAAACCAGCATGTTAAGTGAACATATCCACATCCTCTCATAAATCCTTTCGATGACCCCACGATGACTTGGATCTTGCACCCGCTGTGAATGGGAAGGGATTGCTTTCTGCTAAGCATGTCGCCCAAAGCTAATATGAGCAAACCAAAGGGCATTCCAGGGAAAGAAAAAGATCCCAGAGGACTGGAAACCATGAAGATGAGCTGCATCCAACATCCTCCCCATTGGCTTGGTGAAGCCAACCTGAATGCAGACTTTCTGATCATCCACGTGGGGCTGATTGCAGCATCTACTGGCTCTGTCCTGTTTCTAATGAATATGTCTCTACATTGGATCCTTCCACTCCAGCATATAAGCAAATGAATATCAAGCTGATACTCGCTGTTGACAAGAGGGGTCTTCAAATCCCCTGGTCCCCTGTGGGATATACCTATGATTCAGTGACATGAATGAGTTCTCTCTCTACCTTCGGTATTATCCCCTTTATATGAATGAGGGCACTGCAACATAGGGGGACACACCGTGAACTGGGCAGGGATTAGACTTGGTGACTCGTCTCTTGACCTCTTGATAAAACTTAAATGTGGTTTATAACTCAGCAGCTTCAATTTTTTTCCATGGTTGTGTTTGGACTGGAATATGGGGGCAGGGGGCTGGACTCAATGACCTACTGAGGTCCCTTCCGACCCTAACATCTGTGAATCTATGGGGGATTTTTTTACCAGCAAGACAGACAACAATGCATTATGCTTCTCCCACCTCTCAGCTGAGTGCCTAGAGCCAAGAGGCATGTCGCTGTGCCATCTCCATTGGGAGCGTCAAAGCTGGACTTTGCCGTTCTCGTACCGAGAGGTCACAAGATAACACACAGGGCTGGCCAGGGCACACAGGGCAGATCCCACTGATGGCTAAGCCCAATAGAAGCATATCGACTTACTGAAAAGAAAACACTGTCATATTAAAGTGCCTAATGAGTGTGTTTTATTAATAGGTCTAGAGAAATCCGTGCTTATTCAGATAATTGACCTGGCTTACGGATAGATGAGGAAACCCAGCAGTGCTAATTAACGGGATGAGCAGTTCTTAGATCCAGTGGAAAAAAAATGGGAGCTATTTGATCCCATGCACGTGGCTTCTTTGCTTCTTGACATGTCTTTTACTGTCATGACTCAAAGTCTGATCTAGAGAGGTCCCTTCCAGCCCCTAACATCTATGAAGCTATGAATCTGAGTCTTTTCTTCAGATTGACTGAGGGCTTCCAGTTTCTTCCCTGTGCCAGATGAAGACATCACACCATCACTTGCTGTACAACTCTGAGTTTCCTGTCTCTCGACTCTGCCCTCCAAGTACCTCCTGGAAGAGAGCTTCTGCGAGGCCTTTCTCCATCCTTTCCAGTAACCAGACCATGAGGATGTGATCAGATCTCCGAGTGCTCCCAGAATAATCTTATTTACAATGGGACAGCCTTGCACAGGCTGTAGTTTTTTTTTTCGCTGAATCAAAAAGTCCGAGTAGTACTGACCTGAGTACCTTGCCCAAAGGAAGGACACAGAGTAGAGCCTAGACGGGGCTGCTCAGCGGAGCTGATCTTGTAAAGTTATTGCACCTTGCAACTCTTCTCCTGGAGAGAGTGAATGGAGAATTTGGAGTCGCTCCGTGCCAGTTCAAGGGACCATCCGAGGTGCAAAGGAGAGGAGAATCCGTCCACTAGGACCTAGCTGCAATACACTACCAGGTCCAAGTCCATCTCTGGCTTAAACTGTCTGCAGTCTTTGAAGTTACTTGCCAGCATTTCCACAGCCCTCTACTAACCCTGCAGTCAGTGCATGAACATGGGAAAACAGCTCAGGATCAGTCTGGTGCAATGGCAGCTTTTTCTTTTCCCTTGCCAGAGAGTAAACCGTAAAGTTGCATATTCGAATTGCACGCATCATACCGATGCTGTCTTCAACCTGTGATGGAAACCCATCTCCATATCCGTGGCTTATGCTGTCTTTTGTAAACCACTTTATATAGATCTATATGTCTATATCTGACATATAGATCTATAGATATAGACATATAGATCTATAGATATAGATATATTAATAGCACAACTGAAACCATTCCCTGCTCTTTGTATATACGTTTGCAGAGGGGTGCTTTTTACCCGATGTTGCACACAATAATTCTCTGATGTTTGAGGTCAAATGCTCCAGGGAAAGACTGTGATAGTGAAAAGAAATATATATATCAATAAGTGTGTGTGTGTGTGTGTGTGTGTGTGTGTGTGTGTGTGTGTGTGTGTGTGTACACACACACACACACACACACACACACACACATATATCTCTCAAACATCAGACAACTATTGTGTACAACATAGGTAGGGTAAAAAGCACCCCTCTGCAAGAGGATCTCCCTAAGCTCTGTGCTTCACTTAGTGTCATTAAAGCCCCATTTCGAAGCCTTATGAGACGTGGGATTGAATGGTTGGGTCGGGGGGAGATTCGGCACTGCTACAGATTTCACCCTATGTGACCTACCGTCCGACTAACTTTTTCTGGCTGGTACCAAGAATTGCTGGTTCAGAGCTTTCCAGCTTCTCTCTGCCAATGTTATGACAAAGATTATTCCTGTCTCCTTTTGTAATCTGGGGCTGGCAGTCACCCAAGCATTTGTTTTTTTGTGGCCCTGATATTTTTACCTTCTGGGGGCTGGAGCAGGGTGGAATTCAGCAGGAGGATTTTTTTTTTCTGCCCGCTGCCAGCCATTCCTCTTGCTGGAGCTCCCTTGAGCTCTCCCACCTACTCACTTGGCTGGCAGGTTTGTAACACAGCAAGGGAGTGGCGGATAACTCTGTTGTGGGCAGGGGTAAGTGACCCTGCAGACACTCTCAGACGGCCTTGTAGCAGGGGAGCAAGAGGTCCGACTGGGGCTGAGGTCAATGCAAAATGTCCCGTGAATTCTTGTGAGAGGTACAGCTGATTTGTGGAGCTGAAGGAAACAGACAGCCCGGTAGCATCTGAAATAAAGAGCTGGCATGGCTACAAACCACCATGCCCTGAATGAGTCTCTGTGAAATCCTGGGTTGGGCCTAAAGGATAGAAAGATGCAATGTTGGAGCTTTTACCCCAGTGACTTCAAGTTCCTCTGCTGCGATGTTCCTGCTCCCCTAAGGATGTAGCCGGTGGTTATGTAGAGTCAAGGGCATGGCCACTTCCCACGGGGCTCCCCTGGAGCGTTGGTCTCGGAGGCTCTTAGTCGGTGGAGGTGGCCAGTCTCTAATGGCTTCGATCTTGTCCCACAGGGGAGCGAGTTTTTTGCCCCCACCCGCAGTGTCCCAAATACACCACTTTGGGTAATGCCAACTGACATTTCTTTGCCTTCCCAGTTAGTCCAGCCTGTTTGATCTCATCTAACATAGTCGTTAGATGAATCCAATTCAAAGTCCTGACTGTAGATGACGGTACCATTGATGTAAGCCACTGCAAACAGCTCGCATCCTTGTATTGATAAATTATTCATCAGTCTCTGAAAAGAAGCAGGAGAATTGCGCATCCTGAAAGGTAGGACTGTGAACTCATGCAGTCCCTCAGGGGTGGTAAAGGCAGAAGGACTCGGCCAGGTTTCTTCCCAAGAAGAGAAGTTGCAGTGGTAGCTGCACCCCCCCCCAGGATGGGGGGCAGTTAGCACTTCCCTCCACGCCTGGAGAGACCTGCTACTGGTGCAGGGAAGAATAAGGGCATCACATACAGAGAAGGATCCTTGCCTTCTTCCCCACAAATCCTCATCCCATGTCCATGCAGTATCAGCATAACCAAGGTCCTATACAACCTTCAAGGTTATATCCTTGAGTATTGTGTGCCCGATGCTGAAGCCTGGACATATCTAATGGTGTTGCTTCCCTGTTTTCCATTAGCTCTCCCCGTGCTCCCTTCTCCAGCAATACAGCGACCGTGGACTCTTCACTTTATTCTTTCTAACCCTGTTCTTTGCTCAAGAGCTCCAATGCAATGGGTGTTTCTAGCCTGGGACTCACCAGCTGGGAAAAAGGAGGAAGAGTTCATAATTTCTAAGCCCTTGTGATGGCTTCTTTTTTTCCAGGGTCCAGACTTTGGCTATGTCACCAGGGAGCCTCTGTTCGAGGTCGTCACCAGTCTCGATTCCTTCGGCAACCTGGAAGTCAGCCCTCCTGTGACTGTCAACGGGAAGGAATATCCTCTGGGGAGAATCCTCATTGGAAGCAGTTTCCCCACGTAAGAGAGTTAGAAAACCTGCATGGTTTCGTGAGGATCAGGGCAATCCTGCAGGGATCACTGACCCCAGCTAATTCCCCATCTCCCTCCATAATATGCCGGGTATAGAAGCAAAGCCCGTGTCTGGATCTGTCTTGCCGGGGGAGCTGTGCCTGTTAGCAGCTCACCCCGTGGATTCAGAGGTCTTGCTTTGGCCCGTAACAAGCTAAATGATTTTTTAAAAAACCCAGGTTGCAGTTTGTTTCCTGGTTTCAAAACACCCTTCACCAAGCTCTCTGTAGTGTTTGGACCTTTCTGTAGTCAGCAGCTGTATGATTTGAGAAGCTCATTTGCTGGCTCTTCTAATCTGCTCAGTATTCAATTTTATCAGGATCACGTTGAGAGGGGGTGGGTATGGGGTTGGGGTTGGATCTCTGCATTTCACCTTTGTGAGCATATCATCTAGTGTTTTTAGAGCAATCGCCTATCCAAATTTGAGTGCCTCGCTGCTGTATGAGGTCAGACACCTAGGGAATAAAAGGGAATTGGAATTTTTTCTTGCATTTCCTTTTCAGACCATCATGGTTATAACTTTTGCCCCAATTCTGAAATACAATTGTTTGTTTTCCCCTCTATTTCTGCTACTAGATCAGCCGGAAGGAGGATGACCAAAGTGGTGAGAGATTTCCTATATGCCCAGCAAGTCCAGGCACCCATAGAGCTCTACTCCGACTGGCTCACCGTGGGTCACGTAGATGAATTTGTGACCTTTGTGCCCATTCCTGGCAAAAAGGTGACCTCCCTGATGGCAATTCTGAAAAGTTTACCAAGGATAGGGATGGATTTGAAGGCTTTGCTGTGCATCAAGAGCTGATTTGCTAAGCTCTTTGGGCACAATGCCCCATAACGCCCACAAGACTTGCTCTTTATTTGAGGGGGAAGGAAATCTGAAATCTCTACTTGCTTAGGTTGGGAAGAGCAAAGAGATTTGGCCTGTTTGCTGCTTGCAAGGTCTGCTGAGATTTTTTTAAAGTGCCTGAGCCCTGAATTAAAATTGGATGCCCTACTCCTGTTTGAAAAACCCAGCCATCGTTCTCTTTGTGTGGTGCTTAGATACCCAAGCCATGGGTGCTGTGCAAAGGAAACCGGCAAAAAAACTCATCCTAATAATGCGTAAAAGATGGCAGCCTCAATTGTGGGGCCTCAAGAGGCTTCAGGCAATGTAGACTTCCCTATGGACCAGCTGGGTGTTAGCCACTGCTCCTCACCTCTCAGCATATGGCCCAGCCAGAGTATTATGACCTCTATAAAGACCTAGATCACTGACCTGTGAAAATCCATCTCTGTTCTGGACTCATTCAAAGAGAAACAAGCAGAAATGTTGATACTTCCTAATATACACCTATACATGCATAAACCTGTGCATTGCATTCTTCTTCCCATAAGGCATGTCTTCCTAAATTAGGGCCACCAAAATGGACAATATAGTCCCTTCCCGGCCTCGTAAGCAGCTTGAGAGGTAGCTTGTGCTTTGGTGGATGTAGATGTGTCTCAAGCAGCAGCACCTTGGCCATGAGGAAGATCCGGTGGAGGTGGTTTTTGCAGATTACTATTGAGGGCTTTGTATGCAGCGATCGAGACCCTACAGGCATGGCAGTAAATGCATAGGGTTCGGCGCAGGTTAAAAGACTTTGGGGACTTGAGAATTTGGGTCTGTAGCTACACGTTTCCAAGTCAGGGTAGGCAGACAGTTCCCAAATATCTCCCTTCTGTGCTCGTGGCAGCCACAGAGCAGAAGGTTGCCTGGCGTAGAGGCAGTGTGTTGAGAGATCGTGCTGTATGTGTCTGTGCCTGCTCTCGATGATTGCTGTTTCATCCTCTGGGCCAAGTATTTAACTCCTTCCTTTGGTCCTGCCTTCCTCCCAGCAATTCCGGATGCTAAAAGGAGAAAGAGGGCCACGGGGAAGCCACCATGTTCAAAGGTCAGTTTGTGCAGACAAGCTTCCTGCCAAAAAGAGGGAGGCCTGTACTCTTGGAGGGCAGCATGGGGTAGTGGGCAGAGCACATCGTTAGTACGAGGAGACCTGAGCTCTATTCACCTCCACCCCATTACAAACACACTCTGTGATCTGGGGCAAGTTACTTAACTGCTCAGTGCCTCAGTTTCCCCATACAAGACTCAGTTTGCCCCGACTGTAACCCTGAACTGAAATACTGCATCACCAGCTCGGCTTTCTTGTCTGTGGAGTCATTTGCTATGGGCTGAGCTTTGGGCTGATATATTTTCCAATGGACGCATCTTATTTATTGTCATTCCCTTGCTTCAAGCTTCGCAAAGAACCAAGGGAGCAAGAACCACATTGCAGAGAAGGGAATCAACAACATGGCAATCTCGCCGTGTCCCAAACACTATTATTTATCAGGTGGGAGGGAGCCTGTCATGCTCCTGAAAAAGCATTGCCTCCTACGGAAGTGCAAAACTCTCAAACTCTTGGTTCAGAAATGATGCCTTTTGTTAGACCAACTAATTGCCTCCTACACACACACACGGAAGAATTTGGATGCGAGATTAGAGTCATAGTCCATGCAGTCAGGCATCCTGTCTCAGGGGGCTTTGACTGGAAGTGGGAGATGTCCCCAGGTGATATATGCACCCGGCTAATTCATCAGTGGTCCGTGCAGGGGAGTGAGATAGGAGCTGTGTCTTAGGCCCTGCAGGGATGGTCTTACCTGCTGGAGAAGGGGACTGATGCATCTTTGTTTTAAGCAAGCAGAAGGGCTGTTAATGATAATGAATTTTCCTACCTCTGGTATCTGCCGCCAACCACCCACAGCGGCAGATCCCATGGGCCAGCCACCCGCTGTGGGTGACATTCATCCAGCGCTTGCCCAGGAAGCCTGATAAACCCCATACGTCCCACACAGACCCTATTTTGAGAAACTGAGTGGGACTTTAGCACCTCCCTCCCTGCATGCTGGGCTGCTGCTCTGGGATGAATTTCACCTTGAGCCATGCAGAATCCCCTAATCTTCTACATTTAGGTGCCATTAAGCCTCTACATTTTTCTCGCAGTATAGCACGGAGGCCCAGCACGCTGATGGCACTGGTAAATAGGGAGATGTGCACCTGCCGACAGCAGGCGCTTGATGCGTCTGCTGACACAGGCCTTGAAATCTGGTCCCAAGTTTGCCAGCTGTAGACTTTCCTTCCCTGCAGCTTTTCTCCTTCCTTGGGCCTGAAGCACCTTGATTTATTCAGCGCTGACTGCGCCAGAGACTTAATCTCTCATTTAACCTGAAAGACATCCCCCAGACGGAGCAGCTGCCGGCTCATAAAACATTCACCCGCCATAAGGCGTTACCCAGTGCATGGGTTTTTGGTTGTAGTCATGGTGGTCTAAGGACATCAGCAGACAAGGTTTTTTGAGTACATGTGATCTCTTTTATGAGACCAACTGAGTTCAGTAAAAGATATCACATACACTAAAATAATAAAAGAGATCACATCTACTCAAAAAAACTTTGCCTTGCCACGTGCATGACACACCAAAGGCCCTGGTGTGCCAACTTCTCTGGATGGGTAGTTGGCTTGGGCACCTTCTAGTTGCAAAGCCCTTCCAGGGTAGCTCTGCTATATTTCCAGAATTTTGCCCTTGTTGGTGCTTCTCAGTGGCGTTCCCAAACACAGCACAAAGGCAGCACAGGCGAGACCTAAATTTCTCCTATCAGCGTCTGGTGCAGACCTCGCTGCTCCATGTAGGTACTTCCACACCACTTGTCCCTGCAATGACTGACGGCCTCGTAGCCCCAGCTGCTGTGTTCATCCTCACAACACCCAAGTGATGTGGAGAGGAGTCATTAACCCCATTGCATGGAGGGGGAAACTGAGGCATGGAGAAATGAAGGGGGAAACAACCAGAGATTTTCTAAGCACTGCTTTTTTTTTTTTTTTTTTTTTTTTTTTTAATCTACCTGTTGCTAGACAGCGTAGTGCAGATGTTTACAGCTGCTGAGCACCTCAACCTCGAATTAAGTCAGCAGGAGTGCTCACTACAAAGCATCCTTTGCCTGGTACAAAGCATCCCTGCTTGAGACCCCTCCTAGTCACTAGCCACCTTTGGAAGCTTTTGCCCAAGTGATTTGCTTGAAGAGACTTGGCGAGTCCACGGCAAGGTGATTTCAAGTCTCCTGCATCACAGTGCAATGCTGTGTCCCTCAGACTGTCCTTCCTGCTTCCAGAAACCTCTGCTCACCTCGGCTACTAACGTTTTAAATAAATAGGACAGAAGGAACTGATTGCTTCTCATGACCGGCCTAATGACATCAGTGAAGCTATCCATAAACTTCAACAAGTTTGACCTGAATCCCTGGTCTTTTGATGGCCCAGAGGCAGATCCAAGCTTTGTCGGAGCTTGGTGGGGTGGGCTTGAATCCAGGGGTGTCTGATCCCAGCTACTTGGATCAAGGGCCCTGATACCACCGCTCCCTCATTTCGTTGCAAAGTGCCGTCTTTGGGTGCCATTTCATTAAGCTGATGGTGGCTTTGTTTCCTGCATGCAGGTTACTCAGGAACAGACACAAAACGGGTCACTATTAACAAGGTCCTCTCCAATGAGGTCATGATGGAAGAGAGCCATTATGTGCAGGTAAGAGCTACAGAGGGCTGGGCATGGGCCTGGACCTGTTAACTGCTGCTGGAGAGCAAAGGGAGATGGCACTGCTCATATTGTGGCACAATATGTGCCACAAGAATAGCTGGTGGAAGCCCAGGGGGATCCGTGACAAACCAGGGCTAATGGCATGGTGGAGGCAGGGGAGCCGGGCTACAAGGAACCATTGCACCTGAAGGAGGGGCGTCACAGGTAGGACGAAGGAGTGAAGGAAGTGAACCTTGCAGTATTGCATCTGGGGAAATGCTGCAACCCCCCGGCCCTGCAGCCTGCACCTTCCCGGTCAGGCTGCGGCAGCAGAGAGGGTAGAGCAGCAGTGCCAGGTTGGAAGTGGGAGGAGAAAGGAGGAAGGTGAGGCACCCCTCAACATCCATCCCAAACCCCCTCCCCAGGCCGTGCCCATGGTTTGTGGCCCACTCGCCCACCCTCTGCTGGACTGTTCAAGCTCCCGACAATACCTGGTCTTGCATCTGCAAAGCCTGCCTGAAGCCCCCAGCAAATATTTGAACTACTAGCACTGACTGCCATGGCCAGGTCTGTATGGGACCAGGAGGCAATGGTGAAGTAGCTGCGACCGCAGTGTGCCCATGCGGTAGGAGAAACACGGGCCATAAATCTCATTAGGCAATAGTCCTCCTCCCTCGTCGCCCATGCCTTTCCTTCAGTTCCTCTCCTACACACACTCCCTGTCTTACTACAGGGCACAGCGGGTTGGGGCTATAAGGTTGCAGGACAATTAATCACAGGGATTTCTGAGAAATGGGACATGAGTTTTATTTTAGGCCTCCTTCCCGCTCGGGTAGCAGAATGTATTGAAGGAACGTGCTAGATTAGGAGGGGTCTCCCTACCTGCTTTGAGAGCAGAGGGGGAAGAGAAATATGATGATCCTGGGTGCCAGCTGCTTGCAAGTTTCCCATGTTAGCCCCATTGCTGGAATAACTCGTGAGGTTTTGCATGGCAAATGCATTGGCACCTTCATTATACTAGGAGGGCCAGGGAGAAGGAAGCAGATATGGGTGGAAGCTAAGGTTTTCTGTGATCACCTAATGCATGAGACTGCATTGTAGACCTGTTCGACTGTCTCATGCTCGACTGTATTAAGCCTGTGGCTGTTTCTCTTCCCTGTGTCCCAGCGCTGCATTGACTGGAACAGAGACATCCTCAAGAAGGAGCTGGGGCTCATGGAGAAAGACATCATCGACCTCCCAGCTCTCTTCAAGATAGACAAGAATGGCAAAGCCATGGCATACTTCCCCAACATGGTGAGAAACAGCCCTGCCCTGGGAAAGCTTGGCTTAGGGTCGGCCCCGGAAAACCTGAGAGCAGCCACTGGGTTGGATAAAATGATCTCTGGAGGTCCCTTCCAGCCCCACTTCTCTAGGAGTGTCAGACCCCATGATCTGTCAGGGGACAGCAAAACATGAGAGTCTGTGGGTCATGACCATGAAGTACCTGTGACCTGAACCATAAAGAGCCTTCATCAAAGTAGAGCAGCACTTGAACTGCTCCCAGCCATCAGAGCAAAGCAACTCAGTCTCCAAAGAATAAGAGTAATGTCAGCCAGGGGAAGCTGTGTTTTCAACTGTCTGTTTGCCCTGGAGAGTATGGAATAGCAGATGCCAGCCTTACCTCCGTTTCCTGCCTCTCGTTAGCAGTTTAATTTTAAATGATAAGGAAGTGTCGGTTGTAGCCGTGTGGGCCTAAGGACATAGGCAGACAAGGTTCTTTGGGTCAATCTGAATCTTCCAACTCAAATAGTTGGAAAAATTAAGATGCACTCCAAATCCCATGCATGACTTGGCCTGAGCTCCCCCAGGCCATAACCCTGTGTCTCATCTCTCCCTGCACAGGTGAACATGATTGTGCTGTCTCGAGACCTGGGGGTCCCGAAGCCATTTGGGCCCATCATCGAGGGAGAATGCTGCTTGGAAGAGCACGTCCGCTCCCTCCTGGAGCCTCTGGGACTGAGCTGCAGCTTCATTGATGACATCTCCTCCTACCACAAGATGCTGGGAGAGGTCCACTGTGGCACCAACGTGCACCGGCAGCCCTTCTCGTACAAGTGGTGGAATGTGATTCCCTAATCGCCGAGCGGCTTGGGATTCCTGCCTTAGACGCTCACTTGGAGGCTGCTTTGTTGTTGTTGTTGTAGTTTGTTTGCTTGCAGTTGGTCAGGTTAACCTATATAACTTTGCTACGGAGTCTCAGTGCCCTGCTTTGGCAGCTGTGTGTGTGGTGTGTTTTGCCTGGCAGGTGGTAAGGTCCTTCAGCAAAGCGCATGCCCCAGCTCTCAGCCCAGTCCACCCTTGAGAGCGTGCAGAGGTCTTGGCAGCTGGAGGATGAACCAATTGGGGATGGAAAGGCACAAAGAAGGATTTGCAAGAACCACAGTAATGAAACCCATCATCTGCTGAGTTTTGCTGACAACAATTTGTAATAACGATAATAAAAGGGTGGGGAGAAAAGTGTGGAAATCTCTCGGCCTCCTCTTTAAACCTATAGATCCTGCGTCATCATTTCTCTTCTATGTTGCACAGTTGAAGGGACAGGCTTTTTTTTAGCGACAGAAACGAGAAGGTGTTGACTATTCTCTAACCATCATGTCTTTCTATTGGCGTGGAAACCAGGGTGTAGAAAGAAGACAAAAAAGAAGGGCAATCCAAACCGGGAGGAAAGTAAATTCCTTTTTCTGACCATGCTTTGTTTGAAAGAGGATGCAGGGATACCACTAGTGCCCAGAAAGCTTTTGTGTTTCTTATGCCAGCAGAAGAGTTGTAAGGGCCTGTGGGTTGGTCTGTCTTCACGCAAGGCTGCAAGAAGCCTTGCCACACTTATATTTTGATGGTCTAATTTCTTCCCTTTTGGTGCCATTGTTTTACCAAGTGTGACCATCTCAAGCCTTCTCCTCAATATGATCCATTTTAGTTCCATGGGCAACGATGCTCTTGGAGCCTTTCCCTGAATGGACAATGTGGATACTGTCTCCATCAAGTGGACAGTTTAAGGGATGGTCCCCTCTCCTCCCAATGAATGGCACTGCTGCCTATCAAGTAGATGAGGAGGATGAGCTTTGTTTGCTTTCTGGAGTTGACGTTCACGTCGTATAAACTAGATGTAGAGGAACGGCTAGCTACACGGAGAAACCTTATAGATCATTCATCCAGTCTATCCTCCAGCCAATTGGGAGCTATTACACGCTTTTAGCATTTTTCCAGCCTACTTTTAAATCTCACACAATAGGGTGATTTCCCTTGCAAGATTTTAGTAGTCTTAGCAAATCCCTCGAACAGGCAGATTTTCCCCTATCATCAGCCTAAATGTTCCCTTTCTTAATTGCATCCTTTTATCCTCACTTATCCCACCATAACACCTCCACCAGCTTACATCATTCTGGCTATAGCTTGTCCCAGATATACATAATCTTCTCTCATTGATCGATATTCCTTTAACTCTCTGTATTGTTTTGTTCTTTTCTGTGTCTCCTTAAAGTCCTCTGTATCTTTTGGAAATTGCAGTGCAAAAAGGAATGGGGTTTGGGGGGTTTGGTACACCGAGAGAGGGACTGCTGTGTTAGCTGGGGGCATCCTTTCCCAAAAGGAAAGAAATTGGGTCTTTTGAAAGGACACAGTGGGAGCAAGACAGAATTAGCTCCTCCTGTGTGGTTGGTACAGGAGACTCCCTTGGATCTCAGTGGATCGCTTGTAAATGAAGCAACAAACTGATGTCGAAATCTATATATAGACCAGGCTTGTTTTGTGCTATTCAACCATACCCAGGGGTTTGGGGGGGTTTTCCTCTCCGGTTGTAGGATGAGCCTTATGGGACCATCCAGATCATCTTCATTCCTCTTAGCTAAAGAGGAATAACACTGCCTTGGAAACCTCGATGATACTTTACAAGATTGCTTTAAACATAAAATTGCCCAATGGAGATGCTCTTTCAAGCAAGTTGCATTGTACATTGAGGAAATTTCTGCTTGTAGATATTTTGAGAGTCCCTTTTGCTGTGCTTTTCAACACAAAAAAAGTTGGGGGGGGGGCGGGGGGTTTAAAATATGGCAGTATTTTTTCTCATGGATTTGGATTTCCTTCCTGAAAGTGCATGTGTGCTCACTCTCGCTCTCTGGTGGCCAATGTTACGTCTGCCTCTGGTACCACCCTCTTTGTAGGGTTTTGTACAGGCCTCACCTGAAGCATGTCTCCAGTTCTGGGTCATATACTTAAAAAAAAAAAAAAAAAAAAAAAAAAAAAGGGGGCAAAAAAAAAAAAAGCCAAGGGGGGCGGACAA